CTTGAACAGGAATCACTTATATATCCCCAACTAAGTAGTCATTTGGCCTTTGCTTAAAGAGTTCCAGCAATGGAAACTCAATACTTGGACACTTTCAGATATCTCTCACGGGAAGGTTTTCCTTGTGATGTCCTGAAACACCACACCACACCCCCTAGCACTGATCTTAGCTCTGCCCTCTGTGACTAAGCAATGCAAGCTCAATACCTGAAGGATGAATTTACAATATTTTATTTTTAAATGTCCTCTTCAAAGCATGGAAACAAAGCTCTTTCTTTTCAAGGTTCTTCTCTCTTCTATCCATCATCCAGACAGATGGTATACTGGCCTGATCATGACTCGTTCTTGTTCAAGAAGGTAGCATGTTTTAGTATTTAAAGTCTTTTACAACTTGGCTATAATTTATCTTGCAGGCTGATTACCTATTACTCAGCCCCACGTGTTCTCTCTTTTAGCCAAACTGACCTTACTATTGTCCATCCATAATATTCCATCTTCTATCTCTGGATTTTTTCCATATTCTTCCCCCCATGCCACCCTCCTCATCTCCACCACCTAAAATTCCTAGTTTCCTTTAAGACTCAGCTCAAGGGCCATATCCTGTGAGAGACCTTTTTTGATTCCACAGTTTATCGGTGCCACCTCCCCCCAAAAAAACCCTTCGTATTTACTTTGAATAGATTTTGAATGTGCTTATTTGTGTCCACCTGACTCCACACATACACATAACTTTAGTAGAATGTAGGCCCCTTAAGGGCAGGAACTATTTTAATTTATCTTTGCATCCCCTACTACAATGCCTAGCACATAATAAGCACTCAATAAGTTTTTATTGAAAGAATGAATGGATGAATGGATGGGTGATCCCCTGCTATTGCTCAAAATACTCCCAGAGTCACAAAAATATTCAGTTGGAAAAGTACCTCAGAGGTCATCTGAATAGAAAGCCCCCATCGGCCACTGCTGTACTTTGCTTCCCTCGTCTCTCAGTGGGTCTCCATGCAAGGAGGGCATGGCAGTCTACCTCCTGTGATACCCCAGGAGAGTACAAAGAAAGCAGCTACCTTCTGAGCACAGGCTTCTTCTCACTCCCTCCCTTCTCCCTTGTAGCTACAGTTTCCACTAAAATCTTTTTTTTCCCTTCTTTGGAATTCTTTCATTGCACCTGCTACATCCCTTCTCTTTCCCCAGACTCATTAGCTCTTCCTTCTCCTGGCAATGTTAACCTGTGTTTTCCCCATACTGCTATGGCTTCTTTTCAGTCTCAGACAGTAAACTTTAATTCTATGAGACTATACATATTCAAATAACCTTTCTAGAAAAGCTTTATAAATAGATTATAACATAGGATCACCTGACATGCCTAAACAAATTACTTGTAAAGATCAATGAAACCCCTCTACCTAATAGGAATCATTATTCAATTAATCTAGAACAAGCTTCATAACTCTTTTTGTGTCTTGGACCATCCTTAGGCAGTCTGGTGAAGCCTATGGTCCCCTTCCCAGAATAATGTTTTTAAATGCATAACATACATAAGATTGCAAAGGAAACCAATTATGCTGAAATACTGTTATCAAAACAATTTGTTTTTATAAAATGAGTTCACAAAGCCCAGTTTAAGAGCTCTGGATCTGGGAGGTACTATTAAGCACAAGAGATTTACTTTCAGTTCTCAATGGTGAATTGTATCTCCAGAATTAACATGCTTGTTTACAAACAGTGTATAGTGCTGAGCTATATAGTAACAGAACAAGAAGCCATAATGTCTCTTTCCAAATCTATGTGTATGGTAAAATCTTAGCTATAAAATAAGAAGTTACAACATGAATTATATTGAAGGGGATGATATATTGAAAAAGTAGGAGTTTGAAGACAAAATGCAAAGAATTTTGGTAGAACCAAAACATACATACTCTGAAAAATATTAATAACAACACAGACTCACAGAATATTAGAACTAAATAAGGCATCATATCTCTTATACACCAATACATTTACTTTATAGTAGAGGAAATAGGCTTAAAGGAGGTGGTAGAGCTGGGACTTAAACCTGACTCCAAAGTTGATGCTCTTCTGAATGCTGCTTACATTAATCTGATATCTAATTAGATAATTACAGTTTATCCTACTCATCTGGAGGTCACTTAATTGACACCTCAACTACTCACAGCTGAAAACTAGGAAAGAAAGCCAAAAAGGTCTCTAAACAGTCAAACACCACGCCCTAAAGCTCACTGAAGGATCTCTAGGGTTCCTATTCAGAGCTAATTTACTCTTATTTAATCATATTTCCAAGTCACTTACTCCAAAACATGCCACTTCTGCTCTGACCTTCATACTAACTCATCCCCATTGGAATCTTGGGCCCTGACAAGTGCTCTGGTCTCTGACAAGCAAGCTTTCACTTTGTCTTGATGGAACCAAACCTCAGCCTCACTTCCTGGCCAGCAGGTTAGAGAACATACTCCCGGACTCCCTTTCCACTTTATTTATGTATTGTCTGACCTCGTAAAATGTAAGCTCCTTGAGGACAGGAGTTACCTTGCTTGTACTTGTACATTCCCAGTGCTTAGCACATAGGTACATAGTAAACATTTAATAAAAGCTTTGTCTTTCTATCTATCTCTGTCAGTTACCTAGCCAAATACATATTAGAAGCAACAAATGATGATCATCCTGAATCTTCATAAACAAAAGGTTTCTATTATGCAAGATAGTCATTTAGGAAAGTAGAAAAATTTGGAATGTTTTTAGAGCTTTCAATCAAAACTAGTCAAAAATAAAATGTTAAAAGTTCTAGCACTTAAATAAACTTTAATTACCTTGAAAATCTAACAATTCAATTTAGTTCAATAAAACAAAATAAACCACCACATTAGAATAGACACTACTTACATTTTAGGTTGTGCCTTAAAGCCTACAATTTAAACTATATATAGTATTTTGTTTAAAAATAAAACTTGGGGCAGCTAGGTGATGCAGTGGATAGAGCACCAGCCCTGAAGGCAGGAGGACCTGAGTTCAAATCTGGCCTCTAGACCAACTACATGACACTTACTAGCTGTGTGACCCTGGGCAAGTCAATTAACCCAATTGCCAAAAAAATAATAATAATTTTTTTTTAAATTGTGTTTCTATAAGCCTTTAAAGAATATGTACTAAGTGCAGCAACCAATCACAACTCATGATGTAATGAATAGAGTGGCAAATGTGAAGTCATTCCCTGCCTTAGATACTTGCTGTGTGACTCTGGGCAAGCCTTAACCTCTCTGTGCCTCAGTTGCCTCATCTGTACCTCTAAGATCCCTTTCAGCTCAAAATCTATGATCCCATTACCTCAGAAGATTTAAATATGCTTCCAATCTTTTGTCACAGAGGTGGTAGACTACAGGTGCAGAATGATGTATACATTTTCAGACATGGACAATACACTAATCTGTTTTGTTCACCTGTATAAAGATGAGTTCTAAGGGGGAGGGGCAGTCATTTAAAAGTGATGATATGAAAAAGGTAAGTCACCAATAAAAAAATTTTAAAGACAAATTAAGGTTATGTAAGAGTATGTTTTTTTGTAAACTCATGGTTTAAAACTATTACATTTACATTAGCCTGTTTGCAGGCTATACATTTTGCTTATCATGATTATAGGACAGAGCTAGGTGGTTTAGTGGATAGAGTACCAGGCCTGCAGTCAGGAAAACCTGAGTTCAAATCCAGCCTCTCATACTCACTAGTTGCATGACCTTTGGCAAGCCATTTAACCCTGTTTGCCCCAGTTTCCTCTCTGTAAAATGAGCTGGAGAAGGAAATGGCAAACCACTCCAGTATCTTTGCCAAGAAAATCCCAAATGGAGTCATAGTCAGACATAACTGAACAATATGATTGTCACAACTCACAGAATCATCCATCTATAAATATTTGATTGCCTACTATGGATAGGAAATAATACTAGACACTGAAAAAGGAATAGAGGAGTATAATTGTCTTTAAGGAGGTTATAAATTTAGGAGAGATACATAACTAGGACATATAAAAGAAAGGTATGATATGATAAGCACCAAATAAGTGGTTCAGAAAATGGTTAGAAGAGTTCAAAGAAGAGATCATGTCTATTTGGCCTATTAAAAGCAAGTTTCAAAGAAAAATCGACCATTTGAAATGGGTCTTGAAGGATGAGGCAGTTTGGATAATTAGGAAGGAAGAGAATGGGTCTTCTAATCAGTAGAGAGTGAGGTGCTTAAATGAGTGGGAGTGGGGCATAAGAATATCATGAACAGTGAGAAGGAGGAGAGGGACTTTTAGTTGGTGATGATGGTCCATTCAGAGAAGTAAAAGGAGATAAAGTCAGAGAGGTAGGTTTTCACCAGAATAGAAAGGGCTTTGAATGTCGGGCTTAGGAGTTTGGCTTTGATCTGGTCAGCAGCCCAGAATCATTGCAGGATATAAAGCACAGGAATGACATGATGAGAGCTATGTTTTGAGAATATTAATCTGATGGGCATGTCTAGGAGGAGGGATTGAAGATGGGAGAGGGAGAGACTACCAGCATAGATGTGGGGTAATACGCTATTGTAGTTAGCAAGATGTGATAACCCCTGCTAGGGTGGTAACAGTCAAAACTAGAAAGCAATACTAGGTATGAAACATTACAAAGGGAAAATCAAAAGAGTTTTAGGATTGCTGGATAGTGGATGTGAGAGACGAGTCAAAGATCTTAAGCTTTAGGACTGAAAGGGCCTGGGGGCTCCTTCATCTTATAGAGCGGGACTGAGAATCCAAGTGACCTGGGTGAGGCGGGGTGGAAGGGTAAAGAGGAAGTAGGGGAAAGAGAATTGATGCCAGGTCTTTCTTGCCTGTCAGCCTAGGCGAAGGGCACCGACTGGAATTAGGGAAGGAGGAAAGGGGGGGGCAGTTTGGGGGAGCAATGGTACTGCGACCTAGGATATTCAGACCGTCTCCCCCCTCGGGCAGCGTGAGGGGGAGACCACAGACTCACACAATGTCAGAACTCTTCTCGAGTGGGAGGGGGAAGGGGGGACAACCACAAAGAAGCCGGTTCTTCCTAAGACTCCGAGACGCAGACCCGACGACGACATGGACGAAGCGGACAGACCGAGTGACGGGCCTTGGTGACCTCGGGACGAAGCCGCCTCCGGGAAGCCCCCCCCCCCGGCTGAGCGGGCGACGGAGCCCGGAGAGGGGCCAGGCCGGGGAGGAGGGTGGAGGGCGGCCCCGAGGGGTCTGGGGCTCCTGGCCCAGGCGGCCGGTTTACCTCGCGTTGCCGTAGCAACCGGACAGCTAGCCGAAGGCCGGGCCCAGGACCTCTGCAGACTAGCCTGGAGAGAGGGGAGAGGCTGAGCGGTCACTCACCCTAAGACTGCCAGGCAGCGGGCGCCCGGCCTGGCGGGCGGTAGGCCGGGCACACTGGGTTCCCGGAGCTGGGCCGGCCCCCACAAGAAACTTTTTGCCCTGTGGCTCCTCGGTGGAGAAGACTGCGGCCGCGCGGGACAAAGCGGGAGCTCCAGGGGCTGGAAGCGCGAGACGTGGGCGCACGAAGAGCATCGGTGCGCGCCGGGGCCGAGGGGGACCGGGGTGGGGAGGCCCCGGGCCGAGGGAGACTGGGGGGCTGGGAGGGACTGGGGGGCTGGGCCGAGGGAACTGGGGGGCTGGGAGGGACTGGGGAGACGGCCTGAAGGGGCTGAGAGGAGAAAAAGTGTGCCCGATTTTGTTTTATCAATGTAATAATTATTTAATTAATACTTTTTTGGAATCTTTCCGAGGTGGGGGCATAAATATGGCATATTCTGGTTCTGGACTGACACACCTAAAGGCAGGGGTGGAGAACCTGCGACCTCAAGGCCACATGTGGCCCTCCAGGTTCTCAAGTTTGGCTCTTTGACTGAATTCAAACTTGACAGAACAAATCCCATTAATAAAAGGATTTGTTCTGTAAAACTTAAGACTCAGTCAAAAGGCCTCACCAAGGACCTAGAAGGCCACATGTGGCCTCGAGGCCCACAGGTTCCTCACCCCTGCCTAAAGACAACTGAGCTTACTGGAGAAATATTTAACAACTTAAATACTTGCTAGGATTTGCAGTTTAGTGCGTATTAATTATTTCAGTTACTTTATCTTTTCCAATATAACTTGTTTTGTGTTTTGTTTTCTTAAATGGAAACACAGAGAAGCCACCTGCACCTGGAATTCTGTGCTGAATGATGCCCATGGTGAGTACACATCTCCCTGCTTTATGTCTTGCTTTATAATAATGATCAGAGAGGTTCATGGGACAAGGTTTTCTCTGTTACATTTTGCAAGGAATTTTTTATGAGCTCCCTACCCCACCCCTCACTCCAAATTATCTAAGATTTAATATGTAAATGTAACCAGCCAAGCCTGGAATGGTTGTTTTTTGGGTTTGGTTTTTGCAGGAGAAATTGCATGTACACAGAATATACATATACATATATACATTACATATGTATGTATGTATATCTTTTTATATGTATACATGTTGTTTCCCCTGATAAAATGTATCCCCAGTTCCTCACCCAGTGCCTGGCATATATTCAAATGTATCTATGATCTCATCAACTCAGTCTGCCCTCTAAGATTCAGATTACTACCCATTCTATGCTCAGCCATCCTATGCAATTCTTGTCCATGTTCTCCCAATATGTGGACTCTGCAGGGGAGTCCACCCAAGGTGCCAGAGGCCTTCCTCCAACTTCTCTTCTGATCATACAATTGCTGATGTTTGGAGTTTCTCATCACTTATATGTTGTAACTGTTCATAACAATCATATGCTTCTCCTTTACCCTCTATGATACCTTTCTAAAACTCTTCATAGAGGCGCAGCTAGGTGGCGCAGTGGATAGAACACCAAATCTGACCTCAGACGTATAACACTATCTGTGTGACGCTGGGCGAGTCACTTAACCCCAATCGCCCAACCCAAAAACATAAAATAAAATTGAAATGAAACTCTTCATAGGTAATTGTATTCCATGTCTTGCTGCCATATATTGAGTACATGGTATATAGTAAGCATTTAATAAATATTCTACCTATCTATCTATCTTGCAATACTGGTAGACTCTTAATATTAAAAAAAAATAAGCCTCTGCTTTCCCAAGGAGCTTGAAGTCTTTAAAAGATCTTTGCAGTTTCCTGAAAGCAATCCGGCTGGCTCTTCTGTACCTGTTCAAATCTGTACCTACCTAGTCCATTTGTACTTTCTGTGCCAAATAGACCTACTTACTGATGGATAAGTTCTAGAGGACATCCATATAAATGCCTGTTAAATCTGGGGAATAATATTCATCCACTTGGTTTTTCCTATGTGGATGGACAGCCAAATCCCTTTGAGTTATTATAGGTCCCTTTCAAGAGGCACTGCAGTGAACTTGAGCTTGATGCAGTCAGCACATTGTCATCTACAAAAAGAAGAATCTGGGAGGTCCCACCATACATAAGGAATCCCTTTTCAATCCAGCTCCTTGATCACAAAGGCAAATACTGGTTCCTTCCCTACTGCCTTCAAACATACCCAAATTTCTCTTATCCTAAACACAAACAAACAAACAAAAAAATACCTTTCAGGAGACCCTACCATTCCCTTGGGATATCCACAATTCCCTATTTAGTAGGTTATTTCTCCTCCCTATCTCATCCAAACTCCTAGAAAAAAAGTTTTCTAACACACTGATTCCACTTCTTCTCCTCCCATTCACTCGTCAACCCTTTATAGTCTGCCTTCCAATCTCATCACTCACCTGAAACCTCTCTCCAAAGCTACCAAAGATTTTTAGTTACCTAACTTGGCAGTTTTCACTCAGTTCTCATTCTCTCTTATACCTTTTCTGCTCCATTTGAGACCACCCTCTCCTCTGGTAGACTTTCTCTGATCTCAGTTTCATGATACTACTCTCTCCCGGTTCTCTCTGTACCTATCTGAGCACTTCTCAGTCTCCTTTGATGGCTAATTATCAATATCATGCCCCCAATTCCGTATGTCCCCAAAGGCTTGGTGCTGGTCCTTTTCCTCTTCTCTCTCTACATTCTCTTTTGGTTATCTCTGCAGCTCTGGTGGGTCTAATGATCATGTCCATGCAGATGATTCAGAAATCTATTATCAAGTTCTTGTCCCTTGCCAGACCTTTAGTCATGCATCACCAAATGCCTATTGGACATTTCAAACTATATGTCCATAGATATCTCAGATTCAATATATCCAAAACACAGCTCATTATCTTTCCCCAAAAACCCACCCCTCTTCCAAAATTCCCTTTTTCTGTTGAATGTACCACCATTCCTCCAGTCTCCCAAGTTCATAACTCTGGCATTATCTTTAAGTGCTCACTCCCTTACCTCTTCACCCAACGTATATTCTCAGCTGTCAGAGTCTTCCCTTTCCATCTCCCTATCTGTCACGTTTGACCCTGTCTTTCTATTCACCACTTGACTTAAATCTTTTATCGATTCTCACTTAGACTATAGCAATGGCTTACTAACTCATGGTCTCCCTACTTCAATTCTCTCCCCACTCCAATCCATCCTTCACACAGTGAATGTTTTTAAGTGCGGATACCACCATGACTCCCCTATTCAGTAAACTAAAGTGACTTCCTATTGCCCAAAAGACACAATATAAACTCTTCCCTTTAGCTTTTAAAATCCTTTAATACCTGGCCCCAATCTTGTTGCCTTCTGGTTAGTCCCATTTTCTACTACCTCTGTAAACACATCTGGAATTTTGATGGTAGAGTTCAGGTGTGATAGTATACTTTCTTCAACGGTGAATCTTTGAAGATCTTTTCCATCTTTCTTCTGCCTATTGTTCTTCTGGTTTCTTTTTAATATCCTCGGGATGACTCTGATTGGTTGCATCACTTGCCTAGCATTTTAAAGTGGGCTTTGCCCTCCAATCCTACTCATTTTTTTTAATGAGGCAGTACTGCTCATATTCTTCCTTCTCTGTAAGATTTCGCATTCTAAAACAGTGTTGCCTTTATCTGCCATATCTCTCCCCTTAGAAAATAAACCAAACGCTTTCTGATGATTCTGATGCAAAAATGTTTCTTGGTCTCTCTTGGTGCTCTCTAGGACTATGACATCAGGGAGGTGTCCTGAGGATCTTCTTCTCCCAGATTGATTTTTTTGCTAGGTAAAGAGACTGTTCTCTGCCGCATTTATTACCTAGCCTTAATCACTGAATGGGTGTTGCCTCGGTCAACTGAGACCTGTTAAAAAACTTTAGCTTAAAAAAGCCAAGGTCTCCTGCTATATCCAGGGCCATCCCCAGTCATCCTGATCTACATCTCACCATTGGACCCAGTTGGCCCTGGAGGAGAAAGTGAGGCTGGTGACTTTGCAAGTTCCTCTCTCACTTAAATCCAATTCACTTGTAAGTCATGACAACACCTCCCTGATGTCGTGGTCCTCTTTGAGAATGAAGGACAAACAACGCAACAACAATCTCTGGTCCCCTCTAAGAATCCATATTGAAGAGAAAGTAACAACTCACCAGGTGTTTCCCTATACTAATGAAATCACAGATACAGTCCTTACTCCTATTCTTGGTGTCAATATTATATCAATTGATTTATACCAATTAAACATAAAAAATAATAAAATAAAATTATTGTAATCAGTGGCTATGCCCTTTATTCTAACCACATCCAATTTGCATTTTCAATAATTTCTTTAAATAACTTGGTCTGAATTTGTTTTCATTTCATGGGGTATCTTTATTTATATCTTGAGAACCTGGGCTTTTTTGGTTCTAGGACATATTCAGTGTCCAGTACAATTCGTAATTCCTACATGCTCTAACCCTGGCATTAGTACTATTCTTGGCCACCTTGAGTTGGATTTTTGCCGTCACAGAAGCTAATGAAGACTTTCTACCCCAACTCTAGATTTAATTAACCTCAGATTAATTAGTGGGCTCAGAAATGATCAATTTATTAAGGAAGAGGGTGGGGAAGCCCAAGCTCTAGACCAGAAGTCAGAAGAGCTAGGTTTAAGTCCTGATTCTGCTATTATGATCTTGGTTTGGTGGCAAGAATCTTGGGCTTGGGATCAGAAGACCTGGGTTTGAATTCCGGCTCTGCTTCCAACTACCTGTGTGACCTTGGAAAAGTCATTAATCTCTTTGTGCCTCAGCTCCATCTTCTGTACAGTAAGAGATTTTGACAAAATGATCACGGAAGTCCCTTCTAGTTCTAAGCTTGAGGGAATCAGTGACCTGTTTACCTTGCGCTAATAAACACTGATACTTAGTCTCCTCACTTACTTCAGCAGGAAACATCTTGGAAAGCAACAGAGTTGAAATGTACAACAAA